CCGGCGTGAGTTCCCTGGGAGGGAGAAGGTCCCAGCTCCCAGCCCCGGTGGCCCAGCCTCAGAGGTGCCTTCAGGCATTTGGGAAGTGAACCTTCCTCTCAAATTAAAAGCAACCTTAACTAGAAATAAGTCATCTAGTCCAAGCACCTTAACCCAAAAATAATTTTATTTTCCGTTGTTCTTTATATTCAGACATACCATTAATAATTGTAATTATATAGTGAGAAAGTAATTTTAATACCTTTTATTCATTTTAAATTATCTTTGATTCATTTCTTTGAAACTACAAATACTGTGTTAGTATATGTGCATATTTGTTGGAAAATTTCTAGGCAGTGACCTGGCAGTTAGTATGGAGCATTTTACCAAAGAGCTAGTTTGCTAGAACTGAAGAATCGAAAGGAATAGAATCTAGAAGTAGAAGAGTCATTGCCACTGTTCTGAGCTCTCGTTGCATGTTCTATGCACATTACCTCTAGCATAAGTAGCAATGCCGTTGTGCTCATTTTAACAAGTTATGTCCAGAGTCACTTCTGGTATCAAACAGTACTTTTCCCTTAACCCGTTCTCCTGTGTTTTGCGTTTTACCTAATGTTTCTCTTCGCTTTATTCTGCAGTCTTTACCTCCTTGTCTCTATCTCTCCCGTTTCTGGAGCTTCAGACAGCAGTGTCATGATTGCACAGAGGATTTGAAAAGGACAGTTGTAATGTTAAGTGATGGTCTGGTCAGCCATTCATGTTGTAACACTCTCACCATTTTTCTTTAGAAACTTGAACATATTTCATTTTGTTAAGGATTGCTACTTGTTCCATTTTTCTGATGCGAATTTTACAGTAGCGTGAGTCCATAGCATTGCTCCCTGGCGGTTAGTGAGCTACGGAGCTGCTTTGACCGCTGGGCGTGAACTGTGTCCGAAAGACCTGTGACTTACACTCTTACTTCATGAAACTGCTCGGTGTTGGTAAAATATGAAATCACATGTCCACCTAACAAAGAAGATCCATCAAAAGTTTTGTAGTGTTCAGATTTGATTTCAGAAGCGGGTTCTCTCAGTTCAGTGTGCCCCTGTCAGTCAGCTTGCAGTGGGGGCCTGGCTGCTGCTTGAGCCCTGGTAGGTGTGTAGGATGCTAGCAGGGTCAGTGCTGGGAGCCTGGAATGTCATACAATCAGAAGTATCATCTGCTGACAAAACCATCGGCCTTTTAAATGGGAAGAGGAAAATATTTTCAAAGGAAAAAAGGCATTTGCATTGCCTTTCCTCAAATTTCTGCCTTGATTGGTTAATGGAATTAAAACAAAAAGATTTTAGGTTTTAAGTGAATCAAATCAAGTACAGATGTTTCCTAAGACTATTATTGAGTGGCTTAGTTTTATCCATTGAAATATTGACTGTGGAATTGCCAGAGCTAGGCTTTCATTTATTATTTTTTTAATGCAACAAATATATATAAATAACTTACAATTTTTTTGCAAGAAATTACTGGAAGGCAAGTACTAGAATCAATAACTTCATGTTAAACATATTAATTAAAAGATTTGCTTCAAATGAGGGGCACAGTGTGTGTTGAGGGCGTTATGGTGAAGCTGCAGGAGCAGCTCTTCGATCAACTAGAGCGTGCAGAAGCTTTCAGTAAGCTGAGCAGGCGTAAGGACTGCAGAGTCCAGGTGCAGAGGGACGGAGGCGCTGACATTCAGCCACCAGCCTGTTTTCTTAAGAACATGGTCAGTCATGCGAACTTCTTTCACGATTGAATAAAATAGATGCAAAATCTCTGCACTGAACAAGGCCAGGCTTCATGTGACCCAGTGTCTTTCTGACCACAGTTCCAGCAGTATGTGGCAAATGTCATTAGCAGCTCCAGAATTAGTATAACAACTGCTTACTATTGCACACCTCCACTCAGAGAAGACTTGACAAAAGCTTGCTGTCCAGAGGTTTCGGGGTGAGTGAAGCTGACAGAGTCACCATTCTCTGAGAGGACCCCTCCCTTACAGTTATGACCTTAAAACTTTGCCTCGGAGGCTGGTAAAGTAGCCTAGCAAGCTTACCCTCCACCTGCAACTTGACAGTCCCATGTGGACACTGGTTTTAGCTCCAGTTCTGATCCAGCGCCCTGCTTATGGCCTGAGAAAACCAGTGGAGGAAGGCTCAAGCCCTTGGGCACTCACCTGGATACCCAGAGGCAGCTCCTGACTCCTGGCTTTGGATCGGCTCAGCTCCAGCTGCTGTGGATAGCTCACTCACTCACTGTCTCTCCTATCTGTAAATTTGTCTTTCAACTAAAAATACATCTGAAACAAAATAAAAGCCGTTGCCTCAAACCATAGGTGCTTTTGAACCTCTTAGCTGCAGTGTATACTGCAAGCATCAGATAGTTTAGGAAAAGATGGAAAACTTTAGCTGAAGTTTGTTATTAGAAAGATGTATTATAAAAATTACTGTTTTCAGTTGCTGGAAATGCTTCTGCTGTTATACCTGATCAACTTTTCCTTTTTTAACCTTACCACTTTGTCCATTTATTTTGTGATACACATTTTCCTTTTTATTGTAACCATTTTCAGGAACACAGGAAAGTTGAAAGGATAGCAAAGTGAGCAGTGTAATTGCTGCGTGTGTGTGTGTGTGTGCGCGCGCGCTCATGCTCGCTTGTACATGTGTTGGTGCACTCGTTTAGAAGCTGCAGACATACATCGCCCATAAATGCTTTGTTTAGCGTAAATAACCTAAAAATATGCCATTCTTCTATGGTCATTATATGCCACATAATGCCATGATATGAGATACCTTTATTATTATAACTTAATATCTATTTATTTTAGTATTTTAAAGTCTTAAATATTTTAAGGAAAAAAATTACAGGTGTTGGCTGAGCTTGTAGACGAAAAAGTGTGCACACAGCCACCGTTGAGCAGGTTCCCCCGGTGAGCCGAGCCACACGGGACCTTCTTGATGGGCTCAGGAAATGGCAGCCGGAACACACACACACACACACACACACACACACACAAGCCGCAGTGCTCGCCTACCTGCTCATCATCTTGGTGTGAAAATACAAGCAGCTTTTTGAATGGAGGAGGCACATCCTGATCCATGCACTGCCCTCTGAATTTGTGTGTGTGTATGTGATCATCAGTGAGTTAATCAAGAAGCAAAGCTTATTTACATGGTTCTTATGGGGGGTGGTATCATATTGCTACAAAAAATCGATTGTGTTGGTAGAAAACATTATTTCTATGCTAGGTATGTCATTCATTTTTTGTAATAGAGATTGTTAGCTTGAAAAGCTTACTTATGTGCTCAAGTGTTTCAATAAATATTTTACAAGCTTTGTCAGAGACAGAATTGGATACCTGCTGGGAGCAGTGTCTGCATCTTAACGTGCCTCTCAGGCAGCAGAGGGAAGGCCAAGCTGCAGGCCCGGCAGCTCCTGGCTCCGTTGTGCTTTTGCTTTGCCTTTTAGGCATTTCAAATGCTGCTAGTCTTTGGAGCAAAATCTTGCCAAGGTTTGGGAAATGGTTCTTTAGCAAACTGCTACTGTCCCACAGTACTTGTGTCTTCTCACCAGCCAGGTGCTTTTGGGTTATTTATGCCAAGCAAAATTGTTTGGTTATAATTCTGTTAACATCATGTGTAACAACTGTCAAGCCCACATTCGCTGGCACCTCCCTGTAAGGAGAAATTATTCTGCCTTGCACATTTTTGTATGTCTCAAACTAAAGCTTCATCTTAACTGTGTTGTTATAATGTCACTACACACTGTGCTGAATTGAATTTGTGTGTGTGTGATTGCTTCCTATTGCAACTGGAAACAAAAACAGAACTTGTACTTCCTAACACTGTAGTTACACCCCATCCAAAGGGAGAAATCACAGTGAACTCCAGGTTTGAAGAGGTGGAACAGTTCGTGTTCCTGCCGATGTTTAAAATTTTAAGTATGTGCATGTTTGTGTGTGTAGGTGTACCATATTTGTTATCGGCCACAACCAAAGTGATGTGGTGATAAAACTATTTACATCCAGAAATTTGGTACTATTGTAACTTTTTTTTTTTGCCTTAACTATTTTTAGAGATTTGTTTTATTTTGTATTTACTTATTACTTGGAAGAGCGAGAGAGAGATCCTCCATCTTCTAGTTTATTCCCCAAATGCCTGCTCCAGCCAGGTCTGGGCCAGACACATCCAGGGTGCAGGAACTCTGTCCTGGGCTCCCACCTGCACGTCAGTCATTTGCTGCTTCCAGGAGCGTCAGCAGAAAGCCGATGGGAAGCACGGGGCCTGGACGCTGATGGATGCTCACTTGGGGCGTATGGGGCTGCTGACTGTGCCTCAGCACCCGCCCTTCTGTCTCCCTGGACTTCCAAGTCCATGCTTTCTTTTGTGAGGTCATGGGAAACTTCCTGTGCCTAAAAATCATTTATATTTGCACTGGAAAAATCCTGTTCTTCCTGAATTCCTGTTAAGTGTGGACAGGATCCAGCAGTGCAGTGTCTTCTGAGTACCCTGCCTGCTGAGGACTGAGGTGCCAGAGGGCTGGGCACAGCTGGGCTGAGCTGTTGACAACACACAAACTGTAGTTATGGATAGATTTCCTGTATCTTAGCAGGGATGTTACCCAGCAACTCCTTTTTGGAAGAAGGGTTATCGAATTTTATAAATCTTAAATATAAAAGCAATCTGAGTGCATATGTGAGAATAAGTATTCTACACACAACTTTTGCTTTAGAATAATTTACTAAGAAATGTTTTGTATAGCTTGCTACTGCCATCTGCTGATCCTCAGCTCTTTGATTTTCTGCTGTAATATGAGTTTGTTTTATTAGAAATCTTTACAATGGTCTTTAGGGAATGGGAGTCATTAGCACGTTTATGTGGCCCGTCCGGTGCTTGTCTGTAGTCTCAGCGGACAAAATCACGCAATGTTCTCTACCGTTAATAATCTACTGCTTCTGCGTTTGAGTTTCTAATCAAACCTTCTTTCCCTTTGTCATCTTTCCCTAGTTTAATGGATCGGGAAGTGGCATTGCTTGCTGAAATGGACAAAGTGAAAGCTGAAGCAAGTAAGATGATTCATCCTTTGTTTTTTAATTCTCATTTGTTTGAGAGGGAAATCAAAATAAAGACAGAAACCAAGAGTTTGCCTCTGTGAACTCACTCCTCAGACGCTCGCAAGAAGCCAGGAGCCAGGACCTCTTGCTGTCTCCCCGTGGCCCCCGAGGACCTGGCCACCCAGGGCCTGTGACAGGAAGCTGTCAAGGAACCAAGTGCCACGTAGGATGGAAGCATCTTAACTGCTCAAAGCTTCCTCCTGTGCAATCTTTACGTTATTTCCTACATTAACTTTAGGTATCTCCTAGCACAAGTGCAATATAAATGCCACTTAAGGTTTTATATATTTAGAAAATATTGAACAGTTATACTGCACTGGCTTGTGAAACCTTTTAGGCATAATGAGTATATAAGCCAGGTTTGGTATGTTTGGGTTTTTTTTTGTTGTTGTTTTTTTGTTTTTTTGTTTGTTTTAACCGAAGATACATATTTTTTAATTGCTTCTTGGCCTTTTTGCTAAGATCAAATGCAGAAGATAAATTTTTTATTTTACTTGAAAGAATTACAGAGACGGAGATCTTCCATTCATTAGTTTGTTCCCCACATGACCACAACAGACGGAGCCAAGCCAATCCGAAGCCAGGAGCCTGGGGTTTCTTTTGGGTTTCTCATGTGGGTGCAGGGGCCCAAGAATTTGAGCCATCCTCTGCGTAAGCAGGGAGTTGGATTGGAAGTAGAGCCACCAGGACATAAGTCAGTGCCCGTCTGGGCTGCGGTGCCATAGGTTGACGATTAGTCTGTAATACCACCATACCGGCCACAAAAAGGCAGGTTTTTGTTTTTGTTTTTAAAGTTTGTTTGTTTGATTGTTGGAAAGGCAGATATACAGAGAGGAGGAGAGACAAAGAAGAAACTCTTCGTCTGATGATTCACTTCCCAAATGAGCACAATGGCTGGTGCTGTGCTGATCTGAAGCCAGGAGCCAGGAAACTCTTCCCGGTCTCCCACATGGGTGCAGAGTCCCAAGGCTTTGGGCCGTCCTCCACTGCTTTCCCAAGTCACAAGCAGGGAGCTGGATGGGAAGCAGAGCCACCAGGATTAGAACCTGCGCCCATATGGGATCCCAGCACATGCAAAGCAAGGACTTTAGCTACTAGGCTATCGCGCTGGGCCCTGTTTTTGTTTTTAATTTTTATTTTTGATGATGTTTACATAGTTGATCAGGGTGGGAAGGATGAGGGTCAGGGGAAAGTGGGTGAGACCATTATTTCTAAATTTTCTTTTTGTTGCATCAGGAGAAGCCACACCCAGTCTCCCAACCATCCCAGTATCCAGGGATGGAGAATGGCCACTCAGTATCAACCCAGAGTCCCGATATGGGGCATGTTCCAAGGGTTCTGCTTAAGTGGTTTCACTAGTTCTGAAATGCTGTCGATCTCGCCAATCCAAGGATGAGAAAATCCTTCCAGTGTCCACTGGTTGACATAATTGACCTAAGCATTTCCATTCGCTCAGACATTTGCTGTCATTGCATGGCTGGGGTAGTTGTCCAGTTTGGTCCTTCTCTCTCTGCTGTGGTAGCCGGTATCGTCTGTAGGCCCCAGTGGACTGCCGTCTGGGCGTGCCATCCACTGCTCCACCTTTCCCACTGAGGAGAGTGCCCCACCAGACCTTTCACCCACTGCACACAGGTGAGGCTCAAGATCCAGGCCAAGTGACCCGGACTCCACCGGACCCCTGTCCCTGGGGCTCACAGGCTCAGCACCCACCGCACAGGCGGGCCTCAGGACCCGGGTCCCACTGGACCCCCTGGCCCCGGGGCTCACAGACCCAGCACCCCACCACACACAGCATATCTTTAGAAGGAAAAAAAATAGAACAGGCTAGGCTACTATAACTTTCTATAACTCTTTCAAGTAAAATAAATAAATCTTAAAAAGAGGAAATCTTTTCTTCTTTGAAATAAATAAAGATTTTGAAAATTAAATTCCAAATGAATTTGAAGGTAAAACTCATTGTATCACATGATGTCTGCCACAATAATGTCAACCTTTTTCCCTCAAATGATTCAGCAGTTCCTTTGGGATTTTTTTTTTTTTTTTTTTTTTTTTTTTGCATTTGGAACACAGTTAGAGGAGGTTTCACCAGGGCGTGTGATCTGCCACGACCTATCTCAGAACTTTGCTTCACCCCGTGTGGACAGTCTCACTTAGGGTCAGAGGTCAGTGGCTAAGGGAAGTGTCAGGATTCAGGATACTGTGACTAGGTTCCTAGACAGCTTTAGAGGAATAGAGACTAACCTGGGTGATTTGTAGGGATTTGTATGGAAGGCCTTTTCATTTTTGTTCTTTTAAGAATTAGGATGAGATACTCGCCTTACATGAAAAAATGAAAATTCCAGCCACAGCTTTAAGAGTGAAGTGATTTTGGGCTTCTGAGTCGTGGATTTTTTCCTTCATACATAGTGCTAGATTTATAATTGGGAAAGTTGTTGCTTTGAATACACCCTCAGATTAGTAAGAATAGAAATGCTGGGCAAGAGCCTGGCACGTTAGCCTAGTGGCTAGTCCTTGCCTTGCATGGGCCAATATCCCATTTGGGTGCCGGTTCATATCCCAGCTGCTCCACTTCTCTTCCAGCTCCCTGCTTGTGGCCTGGGAAAGCAGTTGAGGACAGCCCAAGGACTTGAGACCCTGCACCCATATAGGAGACTCAGAAGAAACTCTGGGCTCCTGTATTCGGATCAGCTCAGCTTGGTCCAGTAGTGGCCACCTGGGAGTGAAATAGCAGATGGAAGATCTTCCTCTCTGTCTCTCCTTCTCTCTATAAATCTACCTTTCCAATAAAAAGAAAATAAAATTTTAAGAAAGAACATGTTGGACAAAGTCGGGGTGCTTACCCAGGATCACGTCATCTGTGGTCGAGGGCCAGAGGAGGCAGCTGTGAAGCACTGCCTGAATTGAGTCTTGTCTGTTGGAACTGAGATGTTAGGTGTGTGGCCGAGATCCTGGGAGATTCCCTTTACGTTGAGCAGTGTGCTCGGACAGTTTGAGCTGTGTGGATGCACAGTGTTTCTGTTTTATGATGAAGGTCCAGATAAAGCTGGTGAGCTGGCCGCCTTCTAAGAAGATACTTACTAGGAGAAAGATTTCAGATAGACTAATACAATGAACCCTTTTGGCTGATTTTAACCTGTTGTCAATTCATGGAAAGCATATTTTATCAAATTAAAATATACCCTTTTTCTTTTTAGACATTATAATTTTATTAAATAATTTACATGCTGAGTACTTGACACTTCAGAATTGTTTTACACACATTTATACATGATTTTCATATCAATCCTTTTAGTTAAACGTGCCTATTTTTTTTTGTTTCATAAATAAACTTGTTCTTTGGGAAAATGTTGACTTGTATCATCCAGTATCGTGAGATTTGGTCCTCAGAGTTACCTGTCACTGAGTCTTCATAGTGCTAGAACTGAAATAGAATGAAGTTTGAATGGCAGGTCGGTTTCCTCATGGGAGCCAGGCCAATAGATGTTGGTATTAAGGGACTTGTGTTAGGAACTTGTGTAGGTATGTCTCCAGCTTGAGTAAGTGTGGTCTGATTGATTCACCCGGCATGGGTCTGGGCAGCCCTGGGGTGGCTTATGGCAGTTGGGCAAAATATGTTTGCTAAAACGTGGACTTCTCTGAATACCTACTGAGGGAGCACTCTGCAAACTTCCTATTCTTTTCTAACACAAATTCTGCTGATTTCTTCATGCATTAAGGATTCTGAGGATGATCTATAGATAAATTTCACTACATACAGAGTCAAGAGGTGAGCAGTTTGGGGCTGGCCGGGCACCTCTGAGATAATGTTAGGGATCCAGGCTCTTCTATGCATGTGCCCAGTCATACCCGCAGTATACTCAGTCAGAAGATACCATCTGAGCAAGAAACAGCGAAATGTTACCTGCTAACAGCTGAGAGATTCCTGCCATCACTTTCCATAAACCCTAGTTCTGCCTAGATCTCGGTGGCCAAACTTTCTCACTTAGTCATGTCATCTGGAGCAAAGCCAGGAAATGTAGATTTTTACCTAAGCACATTGGGACCCAGCAATAGTGGACTCTGGTACGTGAAACGGGGAAGAAGGAAGAGTCAGTTGACCCCTTCAGCCACCTGACCTCCCACACCCTGCCAAGCTGGGAACATTCTCGCCTCTCTGGCAGTCCCTTCAAGTCTCATCTAGTTGGGGTATTTGGCAGAAGGGCCAGGTCCCCTCAGCAGTTTCAGAACTTCCGGCAGGAATGCTGGAGTCTCTGCCCTGGTGCTGGAGAATGTTCTGTAGCTGTTCGACAGTCCCTCGTCCCGCCCCTGGGACAGCTTTCCTTGCCCGTTACTCACTGTAGTCGAGGCTCTCCGCTCTAAGAGTTGCTTTCAGGTATCAGCCATGACCATAGCTGGGCTATGCATCAAGTCGATGCCAGAAGGGGTTTTAACAGTTTGTAGCATCTAAACACAGAGCACAATACTGGGTGGTTGTTAGATGGAATGGCGGTAATCCAGTTCTGAAGTAAGAAGAGCTAAGATCAAGAACAGACCATATCTACGTATATATTATACACTTCAGTTTGTGAGGAGGGCAAAAAGGAAAGATAAGCATGTCCTGTTCACATTGAAATCTTTTGAAATATAAGTAAAAAATGACCAAAGGTGGTTTTCCTTGTGAGAGAAACCACAAAACCGGAAGTTAGAGATGTACTTTTGCTTCTTGTTTTAGACACATCTGCTCTTGATGAAGTTTCTTTTTTTTTGCCATGTGTGCATATTTGTTTTAATTTATATTCTTGATTTTAAAAAATCCTTTTGACTGTGGAAAGGAGAAAGAAATACTGAGTGATGTGTGAGTTTCTGTGTCTTCGGAGATCCTTCGGAAGGTGGGACCTGGACCTTGGGTGGGAGGGTGGTGGCCGTCCAGATAGGTGACACGTGGCTTCTGGGACGGGTTCTTCTTCACCCTGTTTGACACCAGCTCTTCCTCTGCAGTGGAAATTGTGCTCAGTCGACAAAAGAAAGCAGAGCTCCTGAAGAAGATGACTGATGTGGCTGTTCGGATGTCAGAAGAGCAACTGGTTGAGCTCAGAGCTGATATCAAGGTAAAACTTCCTCTCCTTTCTGCCTTTCTTCTTGCTCTCGAGGGCCAGCGTAATAAATCTCCATAATTCATGGCCACATCAAATAGAGTGAACTCATGACCGCTTCCAGGCTCCCTTCCTCAGTAAGTGCTGCTGTTGTCTCAGTCCCTCTAAGCTGGAAACCTTAGACACTTTGTCCATTTCCCACATTAGATCTGTCGGTGGACCTTGACCACTGCACCTCTGTTTATCATTGCCATGAAGGATGCCATGCTTGGACTCATGTAACAGCCTGCCTCCCTCTCTCTCGCTCTCGCTCTCAGATTTATTTATTTTATTTGAAAGGCAAAGTTGCAGAGAGAGCAAGCGACATCTTCCATTTACTGATTCACTCTCCCAGTGCCCGCAAAGGCTGGGTCCGGGCCAAGCTAAGCGCCGGAGTGCAGAGCTTCGTCTGATCTAGCGCCTGGGTAGCAGGGGCTCGGGTGCCTGGGGCCGTCCTCCTCTGCTTTCCCAGAAGCATTAGCAGGGAGCTGGATCACAGCTGGAGCAGCGGGGAGTTGAGCTAGCGCCCAGCCTCCCTAGCCCTCAGTGTGGAGTACCTGTCTCAAGCTTAGTGTAGTCCTCAGCACTACGCATAGAACCCTGAATGGGCCGGTGCTGCTGCTGTGGCGTCACAGCAGGCCTGGCTCGTCCTCCCTGCTGCGGCCACCCCAGCCCTCCCGTTCTTTTAGAGAGTCACGGCCCATGCTTCATGTCTGTCCACTCCTCCTCCTCTGGTGCAGTGTCACTCCAGGTCCTTGTGTGTTGACGCCTCTGACCACTGCCTCACTTCCATGCTCTCCTATCATGGTCACCATTGCAGGTGCATTTGATCCATCTGTGTTACCCATGACATCCGGGTTCACAATGGCAGCAACTACCGTCTCCATCAGTGCCTACCACAAGAAGTCATGGTTGTTCTATTCTGATTTTATAGAGAAGAATAAAGCCATTTGAGCTGTTAACTATGGTACAGCCTGTTTACAAAGATTGCCTGAGTTCGACATTCATACACTTTACATAAAGAACAGTGTTTGTGAGTCCAGCTGTGTGAGTGCAAGACAGGTCGGCATGTTTTGGGTGATTGTGAACAAAGTTGTTCTAAATAACTCTATGAGCTACAAGCTGTGTGAACAAGGAGAGTTGGCCTTCTTTGCAGCTGAGCTCCTAAGCTGCCCTTGCTGAACACAGCAGCGGTATTGCCATGTGTGAGACGGACACTTGCTCTGGGGGCTGACAGTGTGGAAACTCATCAGCTGGCACCTTGCCAGGACCCAGTGCCTGACAAAAAACCATCACTTCTCCCCCTCAGACTGTCTGGGGGTAAAACAGTCAAACGATGCAGATGTTAAATTACCATTTCCTGTTTATTGCTGAATCTTATAGATACCCCTTCCCCACACTGAAGCCAGTCAGTCTCATTCATTCCATCTACGAGAAGCCGGAAACCCTTTGGAATGAGAAGAGAATTCTGGCTCTCAGTGGCCTCATCTGTTCCGCTGCCCACATGGCTGAAAAGCTGCTGGAAGGATTTGTGTAGGCTGACTAAGGATCTGTGTCTCCCCGTGTTTTCGGTGTTCTTCAGTGGAGACTGTACAGCTTAAATGCCTTACTTCCATCATCTCATTTCCATCATTCCTTTTATGCCTTTGGCTCAAGAACCGTAGAATGTGATTCAGAATTCATCTCCGAAGGCCATGGCAGGAGCCCGTGTGCTTTCCTGAGCATCAGGACTTGGAGGTGCACAGCTGGATTTTCTCTGCTTTCCCCCTCAGCACTTCTGGGTGCATCTGGTGGATTCTGGTGTGTTCGGGGTGGGAGCAGACCACCTCCTGTTCCGAGGCCTGCCTTAAGAAGCAGCTCTTCCAAATTCTAGAGGATTAACATTTCATTTCCACTTCCTTTTCATCTGAAATAAAATTATTCCAGGCTGTTTCAGGCTGTTAACTGAGGTAGTCCCCCCAACCTCTATTCCTGATGTTTCTATAGGGTATTCTGTAGGGTGTCCTATAGGGTATTCCCTCGTTTCTGTAGGGTAGTTTTTGACCCAAGATTAGGTCGATTGCGTCTCAGTTGCATCTGCTGTAAAGGTGAAACTAACTGCAGGATAATCTCCTCATTTACAAAGTTGCCGAGCTGTTCCTCTTTACAGGACTGAGGCAGAGTCAGCGGGAATTTCCCAAGGAAATCCTTCCTGTCACGTGCCACAATGTCTAGATGAGGTCCTTCTGCGAGCTTTTGGACGTTTCCATTGCCCCTGCTTCTGTGTAAGATGGAGCGGGGCGAGAGGGGCAAGGTGTCCAGCCTGCCAGCTTACACTGAGACACTGCCTCCTCCTGGGTTTGAGTCCTGACTCGCTCTTCCTGCTGTTGCAGACCATCAACAGTGAGGGCTCAGGCGCTGGGGTCTCCCTTCCATGTGGCCTCCTGGGGTGTGTTCTCGGCCCCCAGCTGCCCCTGCGCCAGGCCCGGCTGCTGTAGGCATTTGGAGAGTGGAATGGAGGGAGTGCTGCCTCTGTCTCCTTGCCTTCCAGATGAATGAGCAGTGTCAAGGACAGCCAGGAGTGGGAAGGTGACTGCAACTGTAAATCTTTCCCCTTTCCCTTCTTCAGCTGTAATGTGGCACTTCAGAAAAACTCTGGCTTGTCTTTGAACCCTGGGAAAATAAGGGAATTTGTTCAGTTACCCAGTGTTGGTAATATGATAGCAATTTAGTGAAGTTGGGATCAGTAGAAGGAAAACAGTTGAAAATCATTCCAGAGGCAGACAGTGCAGCTCAGCAGACCACATTGCTGCTTGTAATGCCAGAACCCCATGTTGGACTTTCGAATCAAGTCCTGGCTGCCCCACGTCCCATGCAGTTCCTGCTAATGTAGCTCGGAGAGCAGTGCACGATGGCCCAGCTGCAAACCGTATGCATGACGGCCTGGCTGCTGACTGTGAGCACCATGGTCCAGCTGCCGTCCGTGCGCACAGTGGCCCGGCTGCCATTCGTATGCACAGCGGCCCGGCTGCCATCCATGTGCACAGCAGCCCAGCTGCCATCCGTGTGCACAGCGGCCTGGCTGCCATCCGTGTGCACAGCAGCCCAGCTGCCATCCGTGTGCACAGCAGCCCAGCTGCCATCCGTGTGCACAGCGGCCTGGCTGCCATCCATGTGCACAGCAGCCCGGCTGCCATCCGTGTGCACAGCAGCCCAGCTGCCACCCATGTGCATGACAACCTAGGTGGAGTTCCAGTTCCTGGTTTCAGCCCAGCCCAGACCAGGTTGTTGTAGCTATCTGAGAAATGAACTAGCAAATCAAAACTCTCTCCCCTGTCTCTCATTCTCATTTGGCCTTTCAACTAAGTAAATTAATAATATATCTTTTTAAGATTTACTTATTTTTATTGAAAAGGCAGGTTTTTTTTTTTTTAGAAAGGAGAAACATGAAGATTTCCACTCACTGTTCACTTCCCAAGTGCCTCAGTGGCCAGAGCTGCACCAATCTGAAGCCAGGAGCTTCTTCTGGGTCTCCCGTGTAAGTGCAGGGTCCCAAGGCTTTGGGCCATCCTCCACTGCTTTCCCAGGCCACAAGCAGGGAGCTGGAAGAGAAGTGGAGCTGCTGGGACATGAATCGACACTCATATGGGATCTCAGTGCATGCAGGGCAAGGATTTAGCCACTAGGCCATTGCACTGGGCCCAGTAAAGAAGAAAAAAATCTGTGGCTGTTATTGTGGCACATCAGGTTTAGGCGCCCTCTGCGATACTGGTATTTCAGAGCAGAGAGTCCATCTGAGGCCCAACTGTCCTACGTCAAACCCAGCTCCTGCTGGTGCTCCTAGGGAAACCAGAGGAAGGCCCGAGTGCCTGGGCCCTGCTGTCCACATGGTACACCCAGACGCAGGTTGCTGACTTTGATCCAGCTCAGCCCTGGCCATTGCAGCTTTTTGGCTGTTAGAGAGATGAATCAGTGAATGGAAGATGTGTGTATGTGTGTGTGTTTGTGTATATGTGTGTGTGTGTTTCCTTTTCAGTCTGTGTCACTTCCTTTTAAATGAAATCTGCACAGTTCTGGGTTCCAGGGGTCATTGCATCTATTTAGGGAATGAGCCAGTGAACGGCTATGTCTCTCTCTCTAACTTTGCCTTTCAAATAAAATACATCTTTAAAAAGAAAGTGTGTTTCGTCTATGTCTAATAAGAGTCCCAGGTTTGCTGCCTCGTTGTCTGACAAGGCCTTTCTTCCCCTCCCCAGCACTTTGTTAGTGAACGCAAATACGACGAGGATCTGGGGCGAGTAGCTCGCTTCACCTGTGACGTGGAGAGCCTGAAGAAGAGCATTGATTCATTCGGACAAGGTGAGTGAGGTTCTGGGCAGTGGAGACCTGTGGACTGACGGGCCTCTCCCTGTGGTTCCTCAGCTTCTTTCCTGAAAAGTGGCTCCCGGGGGTTCTTGAGGGAGCCTCCAATGAGGAGCTTCCCACTGGTCTGCCAAAGTCACGGAGTCAGACCTGAGCCCTTGCCTCTACACTGACCTCCTGGAAGCTCAGTTTACTGTCTCCAAAATGGAGGGAGCAGTGTGTTTGGGCTCCCACGTGGGACACCTGCCTGCCACATTGGGGTGCTGGCCTCAGGGCCCTACTCTGCTTCCAGTCCAGCTTCCTGCTGCTGTGCACCCTGAAAGGCGGCAGTAAAGGCTCGGGTCATGGGCTCCCCGCCTTCCAAGGGGTACACCTAGATGGACTCCCGAGTTCCTGGCTCTGGCATTTGGGAAGTAAATGAAGCAGACGGGAGCTCTCTGCCTCTCCAAAGAGAAAAGCAGAGCCGCTGTTCTGGAGAAGCAGGTCAAGCCTCAGCCTGTCAGCTGGCATCCCCCACGGGCACTGGTTCAAGTCCCAGTTGGTCTACTTGCAGTTCCGCTCCCTGCTAACGGCCTGGGAAAGCAGCAGAGGATAGTCCAAGTGCCTAGACCCCAGCACTCACATGGGAGACCTGGAAGAAGCTTCTGGCTGCTGGCTTCAGACCAGCCCAGCACCATCCATTGTAGCCATTTGGGGAGTGAGCCAGCAGGTGGAAGATCTCCCCTTCTCTCTGTAATTCTGCCTTTCAAATAAGATAAATAAATCTTCTTTAAAAGAAAGAAAGAAAAGCATTGCCAGGTTGCAGTGCGGCTCCTACAAGGGGAGGGTTTCCAGTGACTGGGCAAGACCTGAGCTCATCTCCTGCAGTCTGCCTCTTGTTAGCAGCTGGGAACTCGTCAGCCCAGCTGAATGCCAAGAAGACCTGGGGAGTGTAGCTTTAAAACACTGAATTCTGAAAGTAATGCTTTCAGTTATGTTGATACTTTTAATTTGGAGATTATTTTTGCGAGAAATTTGGCAGGACACATGTTTGTTGTAAAGAGTAGTTATGCTCATATTTAAGCTTGATTATTTACACCTTGCATCATTCAGCTTTTTGAAAGGGATTTGAAATTTGATTTATTAACCGTTTTCTTCCTTTCTAAGCCTGTACTTTAGACTGTTCCTTGCATAGGAAACAGAACATATGGCTCCTGGTATTGTTCCCAGGCTTAGTCAGCTAGCGCCGTAACCAGGAGCTTAGGTACTGGTAGGATATGCCAGGAAAGTCATGAGTCAGTGAGGGGGAGAGCGGATGGGTCACTTCCACCTTACACTGTTTCCTGTTTTTCTTCTCTTAGAGAGTTACTGATTTATTTTGAAACCCAAAGTGACAGAGAGATAACTTCATCTGCTGTTTCACTCCCCAGATGGTTGCAGCAGCCACCACCAGGGCAGGCCAGAGCCAGGAACCAGGAGCTTCGCCTGGCTCCCCAGCTTGGGCACAGGGGCCCAAGCACTTTGGCCATCCTCTGCTGCTTTCCCAGGCCGGAAGCATGCAGCTGGATCACAAGTGGAGCGCCCATCTGCGATGCTGGTGCTGCAGGCGGAGGCTCGACCCGCTGCAGAAGGCCAGTCCCTCTCCTGTCTCTTCAGAGTCCCGTTACAAAGCAGGGGTTCAGAAGCAAGGGAGGAAGGCAGCAGCGCGGCTATTCCTCCAGGGCCCGTTCTGTAGGGTTTTTATGGCTTGTGTGGGAAGTTGCTGCTCACCATGAACTGGAGACACTGGGGAGGCCCGGCCCTCACACTGTTCTGCGTGTGACCACGTCTTGCTCTTGTTTCTGTCCAGTATCTCACCCCAAGAACAGCTATTCGACCAGACCCCGGTGCAGCTCACTGACACTCACATCCTTGAGTGACGCTTCTGTTGCTGCTGCTTCCACCTGTGCCTCTGATCCTGGCCTTACAGGTGCTCACAAGAAAAACCCTGTGCCAGAAGAGCCTCCCGCAGCCACAGCAAGCTCCAGCGGCCGCCCCTGCCCGCCCCATCGGGAGGTAACTTGGCTTCCACACTGAGCACGTTAGAGAAGAGGCCCCAGGTTGGCTTGAATGCCAGTATCTTGGTTTATTACCTGCTCTCCATTCCTACTTTGAATCTGCAACCCCCAGCCAGTTCCCAGGAAAGCATTTGGTACATGTATCCAAACCACCAGCCAGGTGAGACCTCCTGTTGCCAGGAAGTGCAGACTGCCCCGCCCCGTCGGCAGTGAGCCAGTGTCTGCTGGTAGTGCTGCCCTGCAGTTAGTCACAGTGGGAGTTGTGCACCGCTCTTCAAGGAGATGAGCACACAGTGGTGCAAAGTGGCAGCTCCTAAGAGCTTAGGGAAGGAGAAAGGTAATGTGGTGGGGTAGGGAGCCAGCTCTGGTAAGTGAAAAAGAAATCATTTCTTTCCCTGGTCTGAGGAAGAACCACCAGAGTAGCTACAGGTGGTGCTGCAGTGGTTCTTCAGAACTGGGGTGACGCTGGAATTAGGAGTACAGAAACCACGCCCTGTGACTGACGCTTTCTGGCCGGTCTGGGGGAGCTGGGAGGAGCATCGGATGGCACGGCCTAACCTGCGCACCACACGGACTGAAGCAGCACACACTGAGGTCCCTCCTACTCCCCACGTACTGATCATCTCCACAAGGGGCTTGGCATTGACCAAGTTCAGACATGAGGAAGTAGTCTGACAGTGCTGACCTGTCCTCCTCGCCATTCTCTGGCCCAGCTAAGAAGGGGAACTTAACCTCTGCGAAGAACCAGGAATGGCCGGGAGAGACGAGGGAATGGGGTTGGGCTGGGTTGGGCTGGCTGGCAGAGTTCTGCAGGTCTGAGAGGAGACGGCAGTTAGTCTAAACACTGGACTGGAACAAGTGCAGTGCACCTTGAACACTGTTCTTTCACTCACAGGTACTACCAGGGACTAGGCGAGGAGCACAAGGCTACAGACCAGCAGGCCCGAAGTCCAGCGAGCCAGCCAGCCAAGGGCGACATGACAGTGCAGGGCGCCACAGAAATAGCTCGTGGTATTCATCTGGCTCCAGGTTCCAGAATGTTCCTCCCCAGACACCAGGAAGCACTGGCGAGCAGGGCCTGGTTCACTCTGCAGGGAACAGCGTGGAGCCTGGCACGCCCAAGCCGCCATTCAAAAAGGGGCTTCCTCAGCGCAAACCCAGGACCTCTCAGCCCGAAGCCATGAACTCCTGAGGGAGCTGCAGCTGGCTCGCTCTCCTCTCCGTGCAGTTCAGCTAATAACTGGACTTTAGAAAATTTACAGTTAGATTTAATAACAAAAGAAGTTTATGCATATCTACTTTTTTTGTGCCATTCTAAGTATTTTTGGTTTCTTCTCTCCTTGTTTCTTCTTTGCCATTTTTGGAGGGGAAGCTGTTTTTCCTTTGACCTTTCCCAATGCTATGGATTGATTCCAGTTGATATTCCCACCAGGAATCCAGGGCAGCTGTTAACTAGATTTCCCAAGGTGAGCAGCATCCTTCCCGGTGTACCAGGTCTTCCAGGCATCCAGAGAGGCCTTACTCGCAGCCCCCCGAGTGAGCCCGCCCCAGGGTGCAGTCAGAGCTCATCCTGTTGCCTCGGCCACCTGAGCAGAGGCCGCAGGTGCCCAGCTGGCTTCCTGCAAACGGCACTCTGAGCAGGGGAGGCAGTGAGGGGGTGGGAGCCAGCACCGGGTTAGCCAGAAAAGGGAACCACGTGGTTGGTGAGCAGGAGACGTGTGAGAATCTGCCTCTGTGTCAGAATGTGCCTGAGGGCTGAGAGTCGGGGTGTCAGGCTCCTGCAGTTCCCTCAAGAAGCCCAAAGCCTTGTTTCCTGTACCTTAGACTGCATCCCAGTCTATGGGAAAGTAGCATTTCATTAAACTTTAAAAGAAGTATTTCTCTGTTTCAATGTTCAGAGACGTGTTTGTTTTCCCCATTTTCTGAATCCTGTTCTGATCCTGAACCAAATTTATAGCAATATGATTCATCTAAATCTGTCACCCATCAAAAAATTGCTGCAATCAGTCTTTATAGTTGAATAAATAAAAACAGCTACATAAATGTGCTTCATAGCAGCAAGTGGCTTCATTTCCTGATTGGGTTCCTTGAGCCACGTGGGCAGACGTCACTTGGACAGGCTGCTCTGGGTTGAACTGGGGTGTCTGACTCCCAGGTTGTCTGTCCATCCTGCTTAGCCTCAGGACCACGCTAAACTGTGATGGCCAGGATGAGCTCGTGCAGCTGTTCCTGGTGGGAAAGGAGCCGTCGCACAGGAGTGCTCCGCAGTTTAGGAACACCACAGCTGCCAGAGGTAACCAGAGGCTCAGTGGGTGCCTGCCCGACAGGTGTGCTGATCGTAACCGTGTAATTGAGCTCCTGCATTAAGCAGGTGGCTCGGGTGCCAGCCCCTCGCGACGCCCCCGCCTTCATGCCAGTTTGCTCCAGCATGAGCTTCTCTGAGTCTGAAGCGCCAACTGCAAGTGGCAGCCACACTGAGCCTAGCTGCCTCCAGGCTTCCACAGGCGTGCTGGCCGAAGCTGAGCTGCTTGGGTTCAAGCTGTTTGAGCAGAGGAGAGAGAGAGAGAACGCGTGTGCGTGTGCACATTTCAGTAAAGAAAACAGTGGACAAGGAGTATGGGGAAGCCATTTTCCAAGGTGCTGGTCACATTTGGGGGGTATTTGCCCAGCACCATCATCCAGCTGGAGTCAGGAAAATTCCCACATGTCCTGAGTAATTCTGATTGAGGAGGTGACCTTGAAGGGTTATGAATTCCGTCCCTCCATCCAGGCAAGACTGAATTCAACTTCCTAGACCGGAAGACACGTGTTTGTCAGAACTGCCTTATTGTTGAAATTAAGATCTTGTTATTGAAATATATATGAAAATGTTTCTTTTCTCTTTTTTTATTATATTTTGACAATCTTTACATAGTTAATTAGGGTAAAAAGGTTCAAGGGCTACAGGAAAGTGGGTAAGACTATTATTTCCATATTGTTTCCTTCATGTTTAAAGGGGGGTATTAAGGGAGAAGGCCCACCCAATTTCCCTCCCTCCCCAGGTCCCGGATGTAGGGTATACTCTGAGGTTCTTGCTCAAATGGTTTTGATATTTCAACAGTTATGAATCGCTGCCAATCTTGCCACTCCAAGCACGGTGTGGTCTTTGAAGAATCCACTGATTGACATAGTCCATCAGAGAGTCTCTGTTTGCCCCGTATGTCACTGCCAGCATATAGCTGATATGGTTGGTTGACCTGTTCTATCTTCTCTCTTTTCTTGGTTAGGGTCTGAGTCCAGCATTTAGATTAGGAAGATCTCCAAAAAAACTTTGTCTGAGGTGTTCTCAAACCAGATTCTTGTATGTGCTAGCAAACACATGGCCCGGCACAGTCCATCGCTCCAATCAGCTAGTGGTTGCAATTGCTGGGTTGGTTCTGTTTTCATTCCCAACTTCCACTGGAACCAGTGAGTGTTGCAGTCCAGCCTGCTTCTGCCCAGCACATACTCGGCCCTCACATAAACCAGTGGGAGCTGCAGCCTAGATGGAGCGACCCGCAGTAACCCCTACCAGGCCTGCCCCCTACCCTGGTTTGCCAGTTTGTGTATCAGTAGTCCAGTCTGTCCCACACCCCATTCCACCCCAGCAGCTGGGGCTCTAGGCACAAAATTGGTCCATCAGAATATCAGTGGTCAGGTGGCTACTTTGTCCCTCATGGTGACACAGATGACGACTCCCATGTTGGACACGGTCATGGTCTGTAGATTCAGCCTGCAGATGTTCTGAACCCGTGTCGGGTCCCCAGAAGGACTTACCCATCTCTCATACATTGGTTTGGCACAGGTGTCACTGACTGCAAAGTCACTGGTCACCATGGGGCAGCAGATGGAGGGCATGAAGATCTCCAAGCCCAACGCAGCCATGGCCAATCCACAGTGGAGTGTAGCCACCACACTCACCAAGCGTTCATTACACAAGGCTTGTTCTGCTGACCTTGCTTCAACTCGTACAATATGCTGGGAACATGGGGCTCTGCGCATCTGTCTGGGTGCGGGTGTGAGCTCCGCTGTTCACCTGTGGCAAAGATCTTATGGAAGTGTGTGGTCATCACTCAGGCCTGGATCCCACAGGGTCCATACAGTCCTTTTGTGGCCAGGAAGGCCCCTGCACCAACAATGTGGCAGACACGATTGCAGTGTACTAGCATGCCTCACCCCATTCCAGTTTGGTTTAAAGATAAATTTATTTGGGCCCAGCGCGGTGGCACAAGTGGTTAAAGGTCCTCGCCTTGCACGCCCGGGATCCCATATGGGCGCCGGTTCTATCCCGGCAGCCCTGCTTCCCTTCCAGCTCCCTGCTTGTGGCCCGGGAAAGCAGTCGAGGACGGCCCAAAGCTTTGGGACCCTGCACCCGCGTGGAAGACCCGGAAGAGGCTCCTGGCTTTGGATCGGCATAGCATCGGCAGTTGCGCTCATTTGGGGAGTGAATCATCGGAGGGAAGATCTTCCTCTCTCTCTCTCCTCTGTGTATATCCACCTTTCCAATAAAAACATAATAAAAATAAATCTTTTTAAAAAAAAAGATAAATTTATTTGAAAGATTAACAGGGAGAGACAGAAAAAGAGACCTTCCCCCTTGGCTGGTTCACTCCCCAAATGATGGCCACAGTGGCTGGGGGTGGATCACACTGGAGCCAGGAACTCCTTGTATGTGGGTGGAGGGGCCCAAGGAGTTGGGGCAACTTTCTCTGGGAGCAAAGTCAGAAATTTGGCAGCTGGAACTGGAACCAGTGGTCATATGGGATGCAGCTTACATCACAGCACCTCACCAGTCCCTCAAGATTATTTTATGTCCAGAAGCAAAGTTGGTTGTTTTGGTTTTTTGGTTTTTTTTTTTTTTTTTTTTAATTTTGACATTTGGGGGAGTGGGTCTGAATTACTAGTCATTTTCTTTTATTTTTTTAATTTATTTTTATTGGAAAGGCAGATCAGATTTACAAAGAGAAAGATCTTCCATCCACTGTTTCACTCCCCAAGTAGCCACAATGGCCGGAGCTGCACTGATCTGAAGCCAGGAGCCAGGAGCTTCTTGCAGATCTCTCATACATGGTTGCAGGGTCGCAAGGCTTTGGGCTGTTTTTTACTGCCTTCCCAGGCCACAAGCAAGGGGCTTGATGGGAAGAGGAGCAGCCGGGATATGAACTGGTGCCAGACAAAAGCTCAGCAATTGCAAGGTGAGGATTTAGCCATTAGCCATCTTGCCGGGCCTTTTAAAAAAAAAAAAAAATATCATAGGTGAACATGGGAAATGTAGAAAGAGTTGGGAGGGGAAAGAAAGGTGGAAGAGTCGCAAATGTTTCTGCTTCTGTTCTGTCTGCGGAAAGAGAGATGCCAGTCCTCATGTGATCCTGGGAAGGGGAGGGGTCTCCTGATACCACCCCAAGTCCCTGGGGAGAGGTCACTGACTGATAGGTGGGTGGAATTTACAAAGAGCAGAGGGAGTGTGGCTTCCGGCTCCCGACCCTAAGCTTCCTGGTTACCTGTCCTGTTTCATCCCTCCCTTAGAGACGGATGTCCTGTTCAATCTGAGGACTGTTGAAGGGTATAGACTCATCCCATCCTCTCTGGTTACTTGCTGCTGAATAGGGGCATTGGGCTTGCCTAGAGATGCTGCTGGCTTCTTGGCACAGGTATCAGGAAAGCAGGTGGGCTGATCATGTACCTGAGCAACAGAGGCCTAACAACACCCTTCCAGGTTCTGGTCCCCGAGGTCGGAGATGCTGCTTGCTGACATCTGCGTGGGAGACCCAGGGGAGGCTGGCTGCAGGTCGGCTCAACCATGGCTGTTGCAGCCATTCACGTAGTGGGCCAGTGAATGCAAGATCTTCCTCTGTCTCTCCTTTTCTCTGTAAATCTTCCTTTCCAATAAAAAAATAAATCTTAGAGCCTCAATGGCCCCCACACCATCCCAGCCCATGGTCCCCAGCAAGAGGGTGGTAGTGGTCACCTACAGGTTTAACATTAAAGAATAGGTAACCACGCCGGCACACTGGTATAGTTTACACAGGGCTACCGTGAACCAGGCCCAGAATTAGCAGCTATTGGCTGCTTTTCTCCCAGCCTTGTAACAGCATTTTAATTATAAAATTAGCATTTAATTTTTTTTTTCAACCAACAGATGTGCAAAAGGAGAAGTAAACAGGCTCCCATCGTCCCATTCTACTCTCAGGGACAATGACAGTTCGGCAGAGATCTTTCTAGACTCTCTTGGAAGGTTTGAAGCACGTATGCATGTGGACGTGTAGGTTTTACCTTTTATATAAAGGATCGAGCCTTAGTGAAGCCTCACACTAGGTATCCTGGTTTTCGCTTTCCTTCAGTGAGAAGTTTGCTGCAGCCCACAGCAGCTCTGGGCTTCACGAGGAGGGGTCCTTGGCCTGGGCAGCTGCGGGTGGTGCGAGAGGCCCTGCCCAGCCACAGTACCACCTCCCTCTTCTGATTCCCTCAGGGCAAGCAAATGTCTTACCCTGCCCAACCCTGAAGAAACTGAACTGGGAAATTAAGTTGCTTACTCTTTGCCACTTGAAAGATACAATTTAAGTTTGAATGTCTTCCTTATGTGTGTCAGATAGTTGCGAAGGCCCCTAATTTATGGCCATTTAAAAATTTTACCTTTGAGAATTAATACAGTAGGGCCTGGCACGATAGCCTGAGAGTTGGAGTCTTCATCTTGCATATGCCAGGATCCCGTATGGGCGCCGGTTCATATCCCGCAGCTCCACTTCCCATCCAGCTCCCTGCTTGTGGCCTGGGAAAGCAGTCGAGGACAGCCCAAAGCCTTGGGACCCTGCATCCATGTATGAGAGATCTGCAAAAGCTCCTGGCTTCAGATCAGTGCAGCTCTGGCTGTTTTGGCTACTTGGGGAGTGAGCCAGCGGACAGAGGATCTTTGTCTCTCCTCTTCTCTGTGAATCTGCCTTGCCAACAAAAATAAATCTTAAAAATAATAGTAACAGAGCAGCTGACATTGTGGTGCAGTGAGTTCAGCCGCTGTC